ATTCCTCAGCTTATAGACATTTGTATAACTGGTGGGCATAAATATAATTTTAATTATGCTTGATCTTCTTTTTTTGGCATAATGTTTAACAAATTAATTCAATACAAATCAATATTTTTAAGTTGTCAAAATTGAATCTAATCAAAGCTTTACATCTAAATAAATATAGTATAATAAGGTTTTATTAAATAACACATTAATCAAATTATTTGTGATTTAGCCCACCTAGTATGGATGGAGCAATTATTTTTGGAGCTGATGTGACACATCCATCTCCTGAACAGACTACTATTCCATCAGTTGCTGCTGTAAGTTAACTTTAAGTTTATTAGAACTATTAGAACAAATCACAATAAAGATTCCAAATTATGAATGTATAATAATAGTTAAATTCAAGAATCTATTAACAATTTATGTAACTATAAAATACCTACCCAATTCAATTTTAAGGGTGTTGCATCTGCCTTATACTATATATAAATAGTAATTATTAATGTTTATTAAATAATCTTAGCAGTCCATACTAAGCTTATATCTATTACAAATTTATTATATTATGTTTATTATTATCAAGTGAACAAAATTAGTTTTTTATAAATTAAATTGTTTTTGTCATTGAAAATTATATCAATAAACTTCTTAAATTTTTTGATTTAACGACAAAAATTATACCCAAAAAATAATATACAGACAAAACAAAAGATGATAAAAATTTACTTAGCTCTGATTAATATTTTTATAAAACTTTGAAATACATTTTTTCCATATTAGGTAGCAGCCAGTCATGACATTTATGGAAGCCAATACAATATGGAATGGCGCTTGCAATCTCCTAAAGTGGAAATTATTCAAGATCTGGAAGACATTGTTCATTTACAGCTGATTAAATACAAAGATAGAGCAAAAGCTGTGCCAAAAAAGATATTTTATTTTAGAGACGGTGTAAGCGAAGGCCAGTTTTTACAGTTGCTGGAATATGAACTGATTGCTATTCGAAGAGCTTGCCTCCGACTCAATATTAACTACAAACCTTCGGTGACATTTTTGGTCGTACAGAAACGTCATCACACCAGAATGTTTCCCAAGTTCCATTGTGACATGGACGGCAAGTTTTCTAATGTTCCTTCTGGCACAATTATAGATACTCAAATAACTCATCCAACAGAACTTGATTTTTATTTGTGTAGCCATGCTAGTATTCAAGTTAGTTATCATAATTTGTATAATGTATAATATGTTCTCTTAGCTTTTTAGCTAATACATTAATTATCTTTATTTATCAAGGGCACATCCAGACCAACCAAGTATCATCTAATATGGGATGACAATAATTTCACCGAAGACCAGTTGGAACAGCTTACATTTTACCTCTGCTTTATGTTTGTGCGTTGTACTCGTTCTGTTTCATATCCAGCACCTACCTACTATGCCCATTTGGCTGCATTTAGAGCTCGTGCTTATATTGAAAAGTAAGTTATTTGATAACTATATTATAATATTAAAATCACTATTTTTTTTTTTTTTTTTTTTTTTTGTATTCACCCAAATGTATTGTAAATACGTGTATTAGATGTAAAATAATGTGAACTTAACGTTCACTGCTGATACTCCTATGTTTTTTGTTT